CAAAATGAAGTCCATATGTGCTATTATGAGTACAGTGCATAATGTGACAGATCAATATAACATAATTTTTTGTCAAATCTAAACGTCTCCTCTCAATGTCCGCCATGTTTTTCATCTCAAGAGCTCCACAAAGCCTGAAGCGGTAAAACCACTTGGAATTTCATTTTGTAGTGGCAAACCTCTCCCTATCGACGGACTGTAGACACAGCTGGCGACTGTTTTTATTACATTTGTCACCGCATTGAGTGACATTTTTTTCCCGCTCCACCAGAACTATGAGCATCTATGATCAAAGATAATTTTCTAATTTTCATTAAATTACTAAATGAGTGTAGATTAATGTGCGGGTGAAAACGTCAGTCAGGAACTGTTGCAAGGCAATAAATGGTGAAGCTGGAGCACAAACGTCAGAGAGGTTTACTGCCGTGCTGAAGAAAAACGCCGTATGAGCCTTCAGACATTGCCACATTTCCTTTGATGAAACACGAATTTCGCGGTAAACTTACGAATATTTTCCTTCCGATTTTGTAGAAATTTCGTTCGCAATTTCAACTAGAGTTCCTGAAAATTTCAAGGAAAAATATCCATAACTTTCCTCAAAAATGAACATTTTTGAGGAGAAAATTTGGCAATTCTCGGATGTTCATACGGCGTTCTTCCTTAGAACGGCAGTTTGGTGGTGCAGCGCTGCTCACAGAGCGCAGATGAATGATCTCACTCGGGTGTGGGGTCAGAGCCTCGTGCCTGGCGCGAACTCTAGCGGGCGAACTTTTAAGCTGACTCCGCTCTTGTCCGCATGGGGGTGGCAATAACAACCCTCCGTCCCACAATGAACTGCTGTTGAATCCGTCAGTGGAACGGGCTCCTCCGATAACTTAGTGTCTAATTTTAGAGTACCCTTAGGGCCGTGTTCATCATCGTGCTTTAAACAGCTCCTTTCGCTGAGGAAAAAGATTGGTAGACTTTACCATTCCTTCACGCTGTATTTCACACAGCGTCAATTTAGAGCCAATTCTGCCAGAAAAAAGGTACACGCGTCACTAGATACTGGTACAGGTAACCATTTCTCTAGCAGAATCGACTTGAAAATTGGTAGAATTTATCATTCCTTCAAGCTGTATGAAATACAGTGTGAAGGAATGGTAAATTCTACCAATCTTTTTTTTAGTGAATTCCTTGAGAAAGCCTCATCCTGATATTAATGTGTAGCTACAAGAGATCGAAGAAGAATTGCCAGAGACTTTGCATTATATAGTATCAAATGCGCAAGCTGATAATTTTAGTTTTTTTTCCAAGTCTGTAGGGGAGCACTTTAATGACGCTGGAATGTATGAAAAAATTGCAAAAACATTTCAAAATCATGAGTTGAAAAACGCCGACTCTAAACGCGAGTTTAAATATTAGAGCCAAACACAGAGCGGAGCGGTGTGTTGCCAGCGCGACATGCGCACTGGCGCCTACAAACCCAACAGGGATACCTCACGCGTTTGCGCAATGCGTGAAGTATCCCTGTTAGGTTTGTAGGCGCCACGCTGGTGCGCGTTGCGCAATGCGTGAAGTATCTCTGTTAGGTTTGTAGGCGCCGCGCTGGTGCGCGTTTCGCGCTCGCCGGTCGGCTCCCGTGCAAACTATTTCACATAGGTGTTGCATAGTATCATAGGATTTTGAACGCACTCCAACATGTTAAGAATGACAGGCATCCTTTAAGAGTACGGAGCTTTCCTCGCAAAATAAATCAAGATACTGCGGCACAAAAAGAGAGCGGCAATCCAAAAACTAGTCCAAGACTGATGAAACCAAGGTGGGAAAATACGTAGTATGCATTATAGTGGAGGACGACCTCACACGCCGCGTTTTTCAATGGAGCGATATCACTACTGCAATTGGACGTAAAAACTTGGTGTTTAAACGGATCTAATTATTGTTGGCAAATCTATAAGCTTAAGCCATCAGATTTTGGGAGTAGCGCAACTGACTTATTCTAGACAACAACAGCATCGGACCCTAGGAGGGCAATCTAAGAAGCAACAAAACACACGCTTTTAAACTGTAAGCCGTAGTCCGCTAGAAATATATTGATTCCTCTTGGTGGGAAAATTTCATAAAAATTCTGGGAATCTATTCAAGAAGATAAAAATGTCTAGAAACAGTAACGACCTTTCTCACAAATACACTCTCTTCCTCTTCTTCCTCATACTCAGAAATAAATTTTTTTCTTTAATCAATCGTGAAGAATTGAAATAAAAGGAACTGATCAAATTTATTCTCACTTTTTCCAAAGGCCTATTTCAAGATTTTTTGGTAAAGCGCTGTTTTACTATCGACATTCTTGGTTAAGGAAAGTTCAGTGTGAGCAAAGAAATCAGGTCTGTTGGCAGAACGAAACCGCTCCGAACTCTCCTCCTTCGAGAATCTCTAAAGTAAAGCAACGCTGTGCCAAAGACTCTTGGTGGGACAATTAGGAAATTGGGTGAGGGATCACCAAGATGTTTTCTAATTCGCATAAAAATTAACGCACGATGCCGTAACAGTACAAATCCTCGGTCATTTTCTGAATATTTTACCACCGTATTTGGATCTCAATGGTATGCGTTTCATCCTTCGATGAGAATTTGCCCTTTTATCATTTTATTAGTGTACCCTTAACGACTAAAATGTCCTTGAGAATAAGAGAAAGTTTATGAATTCCAACCCTGAGTGGACGACGTACATAATGTACACTGAAAAAAAAAAATTGCTAAAATACGGTGACAAATCACCAAATTAGTAAAATCAACCCGGTGTTCTTAATCTATTTTGATGAGTTGTCACCTTTTTTCACTATTTCATGTGTTGATTTTAGCAGTTTTTTTTTTTTCAGTGTATAGTGCTACCAAAGTCATAAGATGTCAAAGATCCCGGAACCATATACCCGTGTTATTGTGACAACCTTCAGATTTTTTTGTGAGCTCGGCTTATGGACTCAGAACAAATGACAGATTTGTCATTTCTAGGCAATAAATTTGAGTTGGGCGTTATTAGATCGGCTTTTTAGCTAGCATCGGCTAGTATTACAGGTGCATTGCCTCACTGGGCAATGTTCCGGTCGTCATATTCGATATCCTAGTCCGAAATTTCGCGAAAAGTCCGTCGCTAAGGCCGATATGTTGCTGTATGCGATATTGTCATAAACAATACGTAAATACAATGGTTAATTCGGAGTTCAGCCGGGACCAATCAAATTGCGTCGTTATGCCCGTTAGCTCGTTATTCGATTTCCACTATAGTAACACATTTAAAATAGGGACGAATACTAAATTCGAGGAGGAGGAACAGGAGGGATCTCCTGGATGCCGAAAGCGGGGAGTTCTCGCAACCACCAAAGGCTCATTAAAATTGACCGAGATGAACACCGTGAGACTTCTCGAGTCGCTTTTGAGAACAATCAACAGGGAGTGGTTTTGTATTCAACGTTCGCGCATTTTCTCCGTTTATAAATTAGTAGTCGATAGTGAAATCTTTTCAACTTAATGATATTCGATACACCTTGTCCCCAACATTGAGCTTCATCGAGGAATAAAATTTCAAAACCTTTTTTTCCCCTGTTCAAAAATAAAAATGGTTGGGGCTAGGTTTGGGTGCTGGTTTTTGGATTTTACGATTAAATTTAAAACAAAGCAAGAAGGAAAAATCCAACATGAGTATGTTGGGAAAGCGTGCCGAATAACTGAAATGTTGGACCAATACCTCTTATTTTCACGTCTTTGCTTTTTGCATCAATTGGTACTTTTTGCTAAATTTGGGAGAAAATATTGATTCATGAACGTTGAATGTAAATTAATTTTAAAGATTCCGTCCAATTATCTTGATTTTAAGCTGATATGCGGCATTTGCGCACGACCGTGATTTCGGCGAACTGCCGTGCATCGAAATCGCGTTCAGTTAATCTCTTTGGATTTCGAACTGTAACTTCTCTCCTATTCGGCCGATTTGTACAAATGAGGTCTTTTTTATTTGTACTTCAACGGAAAGTAAAGAAAAACTCGCTAAATAGACGGGAAACAATTTTTGAGAAAATTTGGTGGATCCTCGCATCACGGTGAATGGTTAATCGGTTAATCGCCTCGTCGTCTTTTATTGCCTTGCTCGAAACCGGACACCCAAAGCTATATCGCGAGATAACTGTAGTGGTTTAAGTGGATTTCGGCAGGGGCCATGGTTAGTACATAGTATAATGAGTCACGAGGCTCATCACAGATTGCACTTACAGTGCAAGACGCTCATTGGCTATAGAGTTTTGGCGGGAAAGAAGGTTCTAGAGTTGAGTCCTCCGAGCGTAAGAAAGCTCCTATGAGGTTTCTGTCAAATTGAATAATACGGTTTTGACAGAAAAATGTTCTCAAGGGTTTCCAATTAGCAGTTCATTAGATTTTTTGGTAAAAGACCATCAGGGCTTGACAGTGTAATGGTTCAAAGACAAAGAAACGGGTGCGAGGAAAAAAGTATTTGGACGACCCGTTGAATAGCATTGGTTGATCTGTGTGCTGTACTATGGTACATCCGAGTGATTTCAAAAAGCGAGCCCTACTGGCACGCTTAATAATCCTGAAAATACCGATGACTCTATTTAAATAGGCTGATGATAAATAAAATCTGTTCACATCGCTTCATCCAAACAAGAGCCTCATCAGTTTCACTCGTTCGTTCTGTAACCAAAACAGACGAGAAATAATTTAATGTGTCGGATAGCATCGTGCTTACACCTTCCCAGGAAGCTACTTTACTCGCCATCGAATAGCTGACTTCGCCAAAATGATAATAAGTAATCATTTTTTCCACCTGAGAAAGTGTAGACCATGACCTATCCTTATGGCTTTCAGGGGTTGTCTATTAAAAATGTACCTGATCCAACCTGTACATTTTCCGGGGGTCGATTGAAAGTTGAAAAATGTCAATGCAACTTTAAATTCTAACGGAATATTTGGAGTTTATTTAAACGGGATTGGGTTTACGTGTTGCAGGTTTGCGGCGGCACAGGAGGCAGCCCAACAGCGCGCTGGACGTGATAAAGCGATGGGCCAGCACCCGCCCGGCCAGCCCGAAAAGCGGGGACCCTCATCACTCTTCATTTTTAGCGAGGACAATGTTGTCCGTCGCTATACCAGATTCATCATCGAGTGGCCATATCCTTTACATACTTCACTATGCTTTTTCTTATTAATTAATTGTTTTCAAAATTTGTTCCCATGAAATTTAGACCCAAATTTTTAAACCCCAGAGCGTAATTCTAGGACTGAATTGACCTACTCTCTTATCGAACTGCGCAGGATTGGAATTTTGTATTCATTTGTCAGGGAGCGTCTTTAGAGGTATTTTCAGTGCTAATTTCGAGTATAACCTCTGAATTCTTGATCAGCACAGTTTTGCCGGGAAAAATTTGAAATGCCGAAAAATCTACCTGTACCGTGGAAAATTCAATTCCCTGGGAAGTCTTGAGGGTGATCACCATAAAACATTCTAGAACAATGTAACAATGCGACTAAAGTCAAAAATTTTAATTTCTATTTTTGATGCCAATTGTTTCCAAGCTTGCTGAAAAACAGTGGATCAAAATTGCATCCTCAGTATCTTTACTAAAATGAAGAAAAGTATAATTCAGTCCGTGTTTGAATAAAACCGTATGTCACTCTGACAACTCTGGAGACTCTCGAGAAAAATCTCGAATGAGCGAAGCGGCATCATACGTGTTGGCGCACGAGGTAACAAGGATTATGATAATGTTGCGCTCTTAACGCTCTCAAATTTTGGATCTTTCGTAATCTTTTCCTTCCTTTATATACAAGCTGTCAGGATTAGAAAGTATAAGCTTCTTGCTCTACTCGCGAAACACGATTTATTGTTCGATTCCGATCGAACAGACGTACAGCAATTGTCACTCATAATTCCAAGATGATTGCACTAAATTGTTACATTCTAAATTTTTATGAGATGTTTCCTTAATTCATTCAACACTCCGTTCGAGTATGCAGTTCTGCTAACAATCATTGCAAATTGCGTGGTGCTGGCGCTAGAAGAGCATTTGCCCCATGGTGATAAGACTGTCCTGGCTCGGCAGTTGGTGAGTTATATTTATGATATTTGGACGTAATTCTGCTAAACGGAACTATGTGCATTGTGACGTGATCCCTGTGACCCATAAGAATAAATGTATAACAGGGCTCACGTTATAGCAAATGATAGACAAAGCTTTGGACAAAAAATACAACGGGAAAATGGAGCTACCAGCGGGTGCTTTAAATGGACAAAGACGAGTTTTAAAGGCGGTTTAAGTTATTAACTCACTAACGGCATCTCTCGAGAGAATCTTTAGTTAAACCACCATTTTCCTCCTCTGCCCATCGCAAAAACCTACTTTGACCAATAGGATCGCTCCATTTGCCCTTTGCCATCTTTTTCTATCACTTTGCCTATCAATTTCAATGATGAGTCCGCTAATTAAATTGTTATTCACTCTAGAAAAGCTCAGTGGGTGTTACTCGATTTGGAAGACTGATCTTTCACTCAAGCAAACCAACTGCATCAGAAGTTGAAGAACTGAACTTCATTCTAGTGAACGGAGAGCTCAGCTTAACTTCAATTCACACAACATGTTCAATTGACCGCAGTAAATCCAGTCGGTGAACTGAAACTTCGACTCGCTGAACTAGACCACCTGTTGATGGATCAGTTGCGCTGGTCACAGAATCGTATTTTGATGCTCTGATTCTTGTAGACCTGATGAAAATAATAAGATCCGTCCAAGTCGCAACCGTCTACATTCAATATTAACCGAGATATCGCATTTTGAAAAAGTCGGTTTATGACGTCATCCACCGCGGAAGTGACACCCTTGGTTTCCTCCACCTTACTTTCATCCGAGTTACACGTTGAGTAGCTTTGTGTTTCCTTGCCTGCACCCAAAAAAAAGTGAGGTTGATTTAACATTCTGGATGTAAAAAAAGTGTGCGAGAACTTATAAAATGCTGAATTACCCGCTATACAGCAATTACTTTAGCAATGCCAAGATGTACAACTAACTGCTTTGGTGGATAATTCAGCATTTTATAAGTTCTTGCACACTTTTTTTTACATCCAGAATGTTAAATCAACTTCACTTTTTTATTTCGGTGTGATGAAAGCAAGGTAGAAGAAACCAAGGCTGTCACTACGGCGGTGGATGACGTCATAAACCGAATTTTTCAAAACGCGATACCTCGGTTAAACGATCAACGCAACTGACCCACTAAGCCGATCGGTCAGCTCAACTGAGAGCTGAGTCCCCTTAACTGAAAGGCGCCCACTGATCTATTTGGCGCGTATAACCGAGGTATTTTCTCCGTGTACATCTGCTATCAAAATAGCTCACGCGTATCATATTTTAATCTTTTAATTTTCTTTAATTTTTCTTTCTTTTAATTTTTTTTTCTTTTTTTTTTTTAATTTTCTACAATAAGTTCTAGGTTGCGTCAAATTGACTCGTATTTGAACACATTGATTTTGACGGGTTTTGAAGTATTATTGCCCATTTTAATTCTATATTTATAAGGGTGAGACATACTTTTTTTGAAATTTTTATTTTTTTGGGATGGCGTTTTCTCATCCCACCCCTCGTCCACTGTATGTAACTCCCCCAGAAGAGATATGAGGGCCAATCCGACCTGGTTTGGGATTTCTAGAAAGAGTCATCATAAAAAATTCATGGACACGATATAATTCTTGCGAAAAGACCAATTTTTCGACGTACGCCCACTAGGGTGCTTTAAGAAATCTTTAAATATTTTTCTTTTTTAGTGATCATTGATTTGGACACATTATATCATTATCATATTTCGCAAACTTAGCCTTAACTTTCCTCAAATTTCAAAATTAGGAAACATCTCAACGCGTATTGATGACGGCGCGGAGATACAACTATTCGTGCTTAATAGAATGTCCATGTTGCATAAAAAAAACTTGAAGGCGCGATGGCGTAAGGCGTGAACTCACCCCAGAATATTTCCCGAACATTCTTGAGGATACGGAGAAAAATCACACAGAGGTGAAATTAAGGTTGGAGAGCAAGAGAGCCATTTATTGTTTTGCAAAGTAAAATTTTCTTTCGAAATGTTTTTCCACTTTTTCATTAAAGGAGACTTATTTTTTACCAAAAATTTTTATTTTCTTGTTGATCACTACACCTAATAAAATTACGACACATTTTAGAAAACAACTGCGACTATTTCTGAATCAATATATCAATCGTGTACTATTCATATAGTAGCTATTTCGTTGATTCTTTTCACTCTTGCCTATCCGAATAAGACAGACAATCTGCCAGGTTAGTCTCATCTGGCAGCGATGAACGAATTCACCAGTTGCTTCAAACTAGACCTGTGTCATCACTAATGAGATCAAGGTCAATAAAACCTGGAAGTTCGCAATTATAGTGAAAAGTTTAACTTCGAATTAAAAATTTTAAATCGAAATTAAGACTTTATATCAGCCTCGATTGAAATATTAAGGAAAAAATTGAGAAATTCGTCCGTTTGAGAAAATTTTAATTTAAAATGCACTCAAACGGACGAATTTCTCATTTTTTTTTTTTTTTTTTAATATTTTAATCGATTCTGATAAAAACAGCTAGGTATATGAAATATGAGAAAGATGTTCAAAGCTACTTTTACTGAAGTTCAGCTTTTTTTGCGAGGTTTACGGTTAGGAAAACATGAAGATTAGGGACACAGCAAGAACATGTCGGTGGATGTTACCAATGTTACCCTACACTTCACGTTTTTTGTGAGGTAAATAATTTTGTCCTTGTCTTCCGCGTTTTATTGTTCTTAATCGTTTGTTTGTTTTTTTTTCTTATTTACAGGAAACTACCGAGACCTACTTCTTAGGAATATTCTGTGTAGAAGCATCTTTGAAAATTTTAGCTTTAGGTTTTGTACTTCACCGCGGATCCTACCTTAGAAACATATGGAACATTATGGACTTTTTTGTAGTCGTAACTGGGTGAGTGAATTTTTCCCATTTTCATCCAGTCAGTGTGCACTTTAAGTTAAATTTCTCTTATTTTTGTTATAAAAATTTAAATTTTATTATTTATATACTGATTTATGATTCACATATCATGATATGTGTTTCTCTCGTGCATTTATTGCACCACGTTTATTTCTTGTTTGACTTAGGTTATCAACAAATGTCAAAATACATTTTCATAAAGGAAAGTAAATTAATTCCTATGACAAAATACGCATCACTAATCCGGTGAGACATTTTTTTAAGGAGGCGAAAATAATGAAAACTTGAAAAACGAAAGAGAAATTCTTTTTTAAAATTTTAAGAATAATGAGTCATAAATTCGAGACAATTGTGAACTTACAGTTGAGGGTTTGAATTATTTTACCGGCGCAGTGTCATGGTGTTAAAAACATTTTGCCGGTTCCATAAGGGTGAATGAAATAACTTTTATCTGTTGCTGGCCTGCACCTAAGAATTTTGAAAGGCCTTTTCTAATGAAGTATCAGTTTGTCGGATTCTAACATATTTCGTGTTTTTCTTTATTTTTCTTTTTTCCTGCTCCATGCACTGGTAAAAAAAACCTCTTGGTTCAAGAGTTCAGTTTCTTATAGCCGGATTTAAGAGTCTGGACTCTTGTTTCAATGCAAAATCCGCTTGAATCAATGTAAAATCCGCTTGAATCAATGCAAAATCCGCTTGAAACAAGAGTTCAAGACTCTTAAATCCGGCGACAAGAAACTGCACTCTTAAGTCAGTGCAATGCGGCATTGGTCCAAGAGGTTTTTTTTACCAGTGGCAGGAAATTAAGTTCCTCCTTCTTTTACACTGTATTATTACAAATCATTACTGTCCAGTTAATATTCATACATTAAAAGATATCGGAAGATTGACCTCATTAGAGAATCATCCTCTTAGGCCGGGCAGCAGATGTTGGAGGTGGGGGAAGAGGGCTCCTCCGCAGTTTCTCTCGGCCGATAAAAGCATCTTAATTTTAATTCTGCTCTACGGATATTTTAGCAAAATAGAGAAAACTGCAAGACCACTCTATCATTGAAGATTCTATTACAATAAATTTTCTCCGAAAAACAGTTAAAAACTGCTCTTAGGACGTTTGAATTTTCATATGCCTGTGTCACACTATCAAAGTTCTCCATCAAAATATCAAGGTCAGGTGTTGTGATTGGCTTATTCTATGACTTAGACCAATCGCAGCACTCGACCTTGACATTTTGATGGAGTATTTTGATTGTGTGACACAAGCTATACCCCTCCATAGAAAGCTCTTGAGACGTTTTTGTTAAATCCGAGGAGGTCCTTCAGCTTCCTTAAGAAGAATATGCCCCTCCCCCCCCCCATCCACACTCTCCGTTTTAATGATGAATTCAAAATACTTTTAACCGTCTTGGGTGGGATTTTATAATCATCCCTCGTTGGTGGATAGTTCAAATGTAATCTTGTATCCATGATTGCATTCATTTTTGACCCTGAAATAAAATTGATGAAATGACATAAATTAACTTTTGATCAGGTCAATGACCATGTTCGCGGAATCGAACGTGGATGTGGACCTTCGGATGCTTCGGTCATTCCGAGTTTTGAGGCCTTTAAAATTAGTTTCCAGAATACCAAGTAAGACATCGCTTAAACCGTGGTACTTGTAGTACTACATTGTAGTGTCAGTACAGAGTTCCCCTTATGTTCAGTTATAGCTCAGAGAATTTTGTGATTTTTATATTTATTTTCGTATATGTCTTCGATAGTTTCATTGGTTTAATATCCTTCGACAAAATTGTTTAGTGGTTTTAATTACCTAGAAACGTGGTATACTTAATTCATTTCTATAAAATTAGTACTCGATACTGGTGAGTTATTTACTTTAATGACTATAGTAGAATTTAAAGTAGATAATATGAGGAGGAAAGGACTTGAGTGCCTTAATTTGATTGCAACATAGCAAAATTTCGCTAGTCAATTCATTGATTTACTAAAGAGTGGTCGTATAATTTTTGGATGTTTAGGTACATAAACCCATCAAATGATAAAGGACCAAGTTTTCGAGTGAAACTGTAGGTAAAAAGTTGCGATGAAATTGAGTTCCTCTGGTTCTGACTCCTTCATATTTAGCTTCAACCCTGTTTTGACTTACAGTTAGCGATAGTTACGAAGTTAGTTTTAAGGTTCTTGGTGTATTTTTTTCTTAATCAGTTTGATCCGTTTTCTAACTTGGTGAAGCTAGTGTTCATTTTTTTAGATGATTTTCACGATTAATTGCGGAATGAGCGTTCCGTTATGAAATAAAAAAAAAAAATAACAACACATAGGAAGTTAATATATCTCCGTTCCACTCTCTGATAAGACGTTTCACTCTAATTTTACTGTTACTTACTTTCTTTAGTTATAGGATATCTGGAAAAGCTCTGTAACTTCAATATGATATCGTGTTCGATTATTATTTGGACGTATTTATGCTGAACGGGACTATGAGGAAATGAATTGTATCACAAGGAACTATGCTGCCGTGATAAGGAAAAACGCCGTATGAACTTTCAGGCGTTGCCATATTTCCTTCAATATAAATCGAATTTATTGGGAAAATTGTGAATATTTTTCTTCAAAATTGTCGGACAATTTTGTTCGCAATTTGATTTAAAGTCTGTGAAATTTTCAAAGAAAAATATACGTAACTTTCCTAAAAATACATGTTTCATACGGGGAAATTTGGCAACTCTCGAATGTTCATACGGCGTTTTTCCTTAGCACGGCAGTATGATACACGCATATCCTACGAACGTAGCTTTTCATTTTCATTTCATTTTCAGGTAGTTCCCATACGGATAAATACGTCCATTTTTACACCATAAACTGTAGTGATAGAGCATTAAATTTTATGTAGAGTTCTCAAAATTTCGAGTACTTCGTTTGTTACCTTTTGTAAGGAGTGAGCCCTGAGATCTATTATAAACTGTTCTACTTAGGAAGTATTCTGTATTAGCTCAACTTACTGCCCCAACTATAACTGTGTTTTTTTAGAGAATGCGTTTTTTTTTCCTTTTTTCTTTTTTTAGTACAAATTTCAACACGAGTGTCCGATTTGTTTGTATCGATAGATTAGTCGTGTATAAAAAATTATTTAGAATGTGACAATAGAACAAAAAAGATTCTAGTTTCCCCCAATCTTGATAATTTATCCGTATTTAGAATAGTGAGTTCATCCGTAGTTATTTTCTTAAACATTGACGTAAACACCTAGACAAAGCCAGGGGGTTATTGGGCTTCGCTACACATAATTTGCACGAGAAAAAATACAAAAAGGCGTCTCTTTTGTTCGGACAAAAATCTTCAGTAAAATTTAAGGTCTAAGAACACATCTTTAACCTGAAATTTAAGGACGTCTACGGGGAAAAAACTGGTGTCCATAAAAATTCAAAATTGAGCTGTTGATACCATAGCCCAGAGAAATACCTAACGAACACTAAGTGGAAAAATCCTTAAAAATCTGAAACCAACTAAGAACTGTGGTTTTTTTAGTATTGCAGTTCATCAAACTTAGTTTTGAGGAATTTATATTTAAAATTCTAATAGGCCGTATTGAAGGCACAACATTGATCAAAACTACTAACAAATCATTCTTTAGGAAATTTGCGAGAATTTTCAATCGAAATCTGAGAGCCAGATTTTTTAACTTAACTCGACAATAATCGCTCTATTTAAAAGATTTTCTTGGATCTATGCTATTTTTCTGGTGGACGGTCACACATGAAGATCAAAGCAGACCGCATTTTTCTTTTTGATTGCATATATTGGACTATACCAACTGTGTGAATTAAAATACGAAGGTTTAGTTTGAAGTCTTAAAATTTTTATTTTTGATGTTGTTATTGCGCCAATATTTTGGTTTCAATGAAGGATGAATAAAATTGTTACCTTGAACGAATGAATGTATCTCCTTACATTAATTTCGTTCAATTTAATCAATTGATGAGTTAAGATCTGATTGATTTTCAGATTTATCAGGGGCCTTATCTTTGCGATTGATTTTCACTTAATGTAGTTGATCATAGTTCTTTAAGCAAAGTCGAAGCTACGTCCATTTATAAAAGTAAAGCTCTCCTGTATGCATGAACTTGTTCAATTGCATTTCCATGATTATTTTCGGACATAAAAAAGGGAAAAATTGGTTGGATACGAGATTCTTTTTCACAAATAATAATTTGACACTTCACGAAAAATTACCGATTTAAACTTTTTTTAAGACGCGGACAATTTAACCAGTTTATGGGCTACATCATTCAATTATGGGTGGGTTACCAATATCTGATTATTAGCTTCGTTTTTAAATCATCATCACTTAAGGGTCGCCTCATGGGACTTACATTAAGTAGCATTTCCTAATGCGCCAAATTCAGTATTCGATTTAGCTTCCAACTTTTTGGCTCCTAAATGACACCTCTTTTTGACTCTCAAATTCGATTTTAAAATGCATCAAAGAAAAAATTTAACTCGTTCCTCCTAGTTTTGACTTTGCCCAAAGGTATGATTAGTTTGTAAGTCTTAGTTTGTAGTAATTTATCTTGTTCTTTAGCTGCACATTTCAAGTAGGTAGTTTAGCAATTGTAAATCTTTGTCGCAGGTTCATCACCCTTATCCCAACCAAATCATTAGACATGGACTTAAGAACTTTAAGAGCTATTCGGGTTCTGAGGCCCCTCAAACTGGTCTCTGGCATTCCAAGTAAGACGCGAGCACTTTTTCAACTTATTATTGCAATGACTTTTAAATATTAAGCTAGAGATCTTTGAAGTAAGTCACTCTATAAGAACATGTATCAGAGGGCTGCAAAAGTAGGTGAAACGTCAATCTACAAAATTCAGCTATCCCTTTTTAGTACAGTCGTAAGAACGAAAATAATGAGATGCGGAATACACGTATCTCTTTGAGATACACGAGGAGATAGACCCAAATGAAATTGGGAATTGAAGAGATTCTCTACGAACAACAAGTGAATTGTCCATAATTTTGCTTCAAGTAATTTTGAGGGGTCGGAAAAAAGTAAAGAATTGTTACAAAGAGCAAAAACACTGTAAAGTTTGAGATTTACGAACCTTCATTGTTGTGACCAGAAAATGATTTGACACCCAAATCTTTTAATTTAGGTCTATGGCTGGTTTGCGTTTTAATCCTCTGCGGGTTTCAATTCTTCAATTCCACTCGTAAATAATAAATACTATCGTACTAAAAAAAATTAAAAAAAAAAAAAAAAAAAAAAAATGTGAGTCTGATATTTGTCAAGTCCAGTTAGTTCTCTTTACCCCCTTTTGCTCCATTATTTCCTGCGAGCAAAAAGAAATTAGACGTACTTTGTAGGTAATGGATGTTCCGTTCCATTACAATGTTAATGCATTGTATTGAATTAGTTTTACTGAAAATTGGTCCGTATTAGTTTGTCACATTATCAGTATAAAATAATTTCCTGTAACTACGGTAGTTTTCCTTTTAACCATAAAAGTTGCATCCTTTGAAGGAGTCAATCAAAAAAGTGGCTCCAATCTTTTTTTATCAAATTCTTAAGCTTAGTACTACTGAAAACGATTTGATGGCTAAGCTTATAAACCACGTATTTTGATGGTTTGCAAAGTTGCGTTCGAGTGGTACTTAATTTTTTATGCAGAAAACCAATCTATGTAAAACCAAATGTTTTCCATTGCTCCCTCCGGAAAACTGAAATAAGAACGAATGTTTTAACACGCAGCAATCTAGATAGCGATTTCCGAAACATTAACATGAAAATGAATATTTTTTTTTAGTACTAATTTTATTCCTTCTGACTTATCATTGAACTAGAAAAAGTTTTAAACGATTGAATCAGTGCTCATAGCTAAGATTTACTTTCAAACAACAATAGAAGTTCACTTGCATGGAAACTCAGAAATTTTGGATGCCGTATGTATTCGAAACGGACATACATGTAACCGTCAAAAGTTACCAGTCGCATTGATGAGTTTATAAAATAAAATTTGGATACTATTAATGATCAAACTTTCGTAAAAATTAAACTGCTTCAATTAATGAAAATTAATGTTTCTCCAGGTTTGCAGGTTGTGCTGAAGTCAATAATCAAGGCTATGGCACCACTGCTGCAAATTGGTTTGCTAGTCTTATTTGCCATAGTTATTTTTGCCATCATAGGTTTAGAATTTTACTCAGGTGGCCTTCATAAAACGTGTTACAGGTAAGGAACATATTCATTATTTGTCATGTATAATTACATGTTGATTTTGTTCGAAAGTAAGTTAAAGATTTAATATTGAAATAACAAAAACAAATCCTTTTCACCATCAGTAGAAACAAACATTACCAACCTTATCCTATACATACACGCAAAAAAGTAGTTGGTGCTGATGTCAAGACTCTCTGCTCAGAGGGCTCCTGCGGCCTGATTATTGAAACTATGTCGGCCCAACATGACAAGAGATAGCCCTACCTTAACCATGCAATATATCGCAATTCGATGTCTTATCGGGTTGCTTTAAACTTTCAATAATCGGCCCGCTGCACTTTCTTTTTTATGCTAACAGACTGTACCTGTTGAGAACAGAACTTCACGAAGTACCCCGTTCTCATTACAGAAACTTTGTAGGTAACTAAAAGAAAAAAGTGCAGGAGTCCTGTGAACAGAAGTAATTTTTTGTGTGTAACATTGAAGAGAAAAAAACTTTTATAGAAGGTATATGAAGTAAAAGCTATTCCATCATGCCACATAATTGAGGATAAAAATGATACTCAGTATTTTCTGTCCATTATTCAATAGATAAATATTTGTTCGTTTTGTTTTTAGAGGTAAAGACATAATGCAATTTCAAGCCCTCGCCTGACTTGAGGCTGAATTTATCATTAATCCTTCATTTTTATACACAACAGTGTGAAGAACACGAATTTCAATTTTCCCCACTTTTCAAATCGCTCTCATGAAAGACTTGCCTCCATGAATTGAGATCCCTTTCCCTCGCAGACGGATGGATTTATTTGGTAGGCTGAAACCATAGGGTACATAGAGTCGTAATGCAAGTGGGAGAGCTGGTGCCACTTTTAAGCATTTTCCAAGTCTCGAATTCTGAGATTCCTGTGCGGTGCCGGGTCCCTTTTTCGATACATAATCGATTCTTTGCGATACACGGGGACCCGGCCATATTCCGCACCGCCATTTTGGATCGAATATGTATCGAAAAAATGACCCCGCACACCGGGCTCGGAACTCGTCGAGCAGAACATGGCGCCAGCTGTCCCACTTACATTACGGTTCTATGTACTCTATGGCTGAAATACACGTATTTATGCTAAAAAGAACTATGTTCCACGCATGCCCTATGCACATAGTTCCTTTTAGCATAAATACGTCCAAATATGTCGGAACCCTTTATGAAAACTGTACTTTTTAAAACTTGTACTTGTACTTGCGAATGAGGCTACTATTGATTTGCATCTGTCGCAGGCAAATAGTAAAATCAGGCATTTTGTCAAATGCCTAGGCAAATAGTCAAATATTCTAACTTAGAGCGAAATTCTAATTCTTTTCCTAATTTCAAACAAAATAATTCTTTGCTCCTGCAAGAAAAAATTTTCAATAAAAATTTGCACACACACACTAGTATTTTAAACAATTTTTAGCTCCTGAAGAGTCACACTGATCTTGAAATTTTCAGCATGTCGTAAAATACAGAATTTTCGGAATTTCAACATTTAAAAATAAGAGAGGCAATTGAAGAGGAAAAGACAATTAGAGTTCGTAGGTTTGATGTGTTATTTTTCCAAAAATAGTGAAAAATCGTGAGCTCTTCGCCATAAATACACAAAATTTTGTGGACCGTCAAAATTTGACTATCTGCCAGGCCTAGGCATTTGACAAAATGCCTGATTTCACTATTTGCCTGCGACACATCTACTCCTTTGTTTTCAGTCTGTCAGATCGAAAGAAAATAGTTCCGGACGGAGAGGCACCGACTCCTTGTAACGCCGACTCCGACTTCGATCAGAGTAAAGTTCCACCGGGTGCATACTTATGCAACGCAAGTATCTCAACGTGCCTTGAAGAATGGGAAGGACCCAACTTCGGAATAACATCCTTCGACAATATCGGCTTCGCCATGCTCACCGTCTTTCAATGTATCACAATGGAAGGCTGGACCACCATTTTATATTGGGTGAGTTTCCTGTCAGGCAGTTCGCATATACTAGAATGAAGGACAACTTAATCTTCATCTAATTTTCTTATACTCTTCATGTCTTTTTTTTAACCGAAAAATTCGCCCTCTGCTGCGTCTGCGGCAATTGTTGTTACGAGTATGCGGTGCGTGCTGGTTTCAGGTAGTTACATACTCGACTCTTTGAAGGCGTTTTGTGTGCGAGAGCAATTCGCCAGTTCTCCAACAGGTTACGCCACTTGCGCGCATAAAACGCCTTCAGAGAGTCGAGTATGTAATGACCTGAAACCAACACGCACAACATATTCGTAACAACAATTGCTGCAGACGCAGCTGAAGGCGAATTGCTCTCGCACATAAAACGCCTTCAGAGATTCGTGTATGTAATGACCTGAAACCAGCACGCACAACATATTCGTAACAACAATTGCCGCAGACGCAGCTGAAGACGAATTTTTCAGTTAGAAAAAAAAGGGCATGAAAGGAAGTGTGCGTGTAACGAGAGGGTATGTATGATCGACATGAATCGATCGAAAAATGAAAACGTGAATCGATCGACACCGATTCGATCGACAAATTATTAAAAAACCGGTGTCGATTCGATCGACATGAATCGATCGACAACCGTGAATCGATTGACAAACCCGTGAATCGATCGACAAACCCGTGAGTCGATCGACAAACCCGTGAGTCGATCGAAAAACCCGTGAATGGATCGACCAATACTCCAACCTGTAATTACGGTTTTTAAGCTCCCCCCCCCCCC